TGTTGGTTGTTACTTCTCCTCTTTCATTTCTGATTTTGTGTATTTGGGTTCTCTCTCTTTGTTTCTTGGTGAGTCTAGCTAAGGGTCCATCTATCTTGTTTATCTTTTCGAAAAACCAGCTCTTTGTTTCATTGATCCTTTGAATTGTTTTTTTGGTCTCTATGTCATTTATTTCTGCTCTGATCTTTACTATTTCCTTCCTTCTACTTGCTCTGGGGTTTTCTTTTTGTTTGCTTTCTAATTCTTTAAGTTGTGAGGTTAGACAGTCAATTAGAAATTTTTCTTGTTTTTTGAGGTAGGCCTGTAGTGCTATGAACTTCCCTCTCAGAACTGCTTTCGCTGCATCCCATAGATTTTGTGTTGTTGTGTGTTCATTTTCATTGGTTTCCAGGAAGTTTTTGATTTCTTCCTTGATCTCCTCGGTGACCCATTCATTGTTTAATAACATGCTATTTAGCCTCCATGTGTTGAAATGTCTTTGCATGTTCTTTGTGCAATTGATTTCTAGTTTCATGCCATTGTGATCTGAGAAGATGCTTGATATGATTTCAATCTTCTTGAACTTGTAGAGATTTAGTTTGTGTCCTATCATGTGGTCTATCTTTGAGAATGTCCCATGTGCACTTGAGAAGAATGTGTATTCTGTAGTTTTGGGGTGTAATTCTCTGTAGATATCTATTAAATCCATTTGGTCTAGTGCTTCATTTAGAGTCTCTGTTTCCTTGCTAATTTTTTGCCTAGAGGATCTATCCAGTGCTGTCAACGGGGTGTTGAAGTCCCCTGCTATGATTGTATTGTTGTCGATTTCTCCTTGGAAGTCCTCCAGAAGATTTTTAATATATTTTGGTGCTCCTATATTGGGTGCATATATGTTTATCAAGGTTATATCGTCCTGTTGGATAGATCCTTTCAATATTATGTAGTGGCCGTCTTTGTCTCTAGTTATGGTCTTCATTTTGAAATCTATTTTATCAGATATGAGAATTGCTACCCCAGCTTTTTTTTGCTTTCCATTTGCTTGGAAAATTTTTTTCCATCCCTTCACTTTCAACCTATGTGAGTCTTTTGTTGAGAGGTGGGTCTCTTGTAAACAACATATAGATGAGTCATGCTTTCTTATCCAATCAGCTACTCTGTGTCTCTTTATGGGAGCATTCAATCCATTTACGTTTAAGGTGATTATTGATATGTACTTATTTATTGCCATTTTTGTTTAGTGTGGTTCTATTTTTCTTCCCATTTCTACTGCTATTTACAGCAGTCCTTTTAGCATTTCTTGCAGTGCTGGTTTGGTGCTAATGTATTCCCTTAGCTTTTTTTTGTCTGGGAAGCTCTTTATTTGATCTTCTATTTTGAATGATAGCCTTGCTGGGTAGAGTAGTCTTGGATTCAGATTCTTGTTTTTCATGACTTTGATTACTTCATGCCATTCTCTTCTGGCCTGTAGTGTTTCTTGTGAGAAGTCAGCTGAAAGCCTTATGGGGTTCCCTTTGTAGGTAACCTGTTGCTTATCTCTTGCTGCTTTTAGGATTCTCTCTTTGTCTTTAATTTGTGGCATTTTAATTACTATGTGTCTTGGTGTGGGCCTGTTTGGGTTCTTCTTACTTGGGACTCTCTGTGCTTCTTGAACTTGAATGCCTTCTTCCTTCACCAAATTAGGGAAGTTTTCTCTCACTATTTTTTTGAATATATTCTCTATCCCTTGCTCCTGTTCTTCTTCTTCGGGGACTCCTATGATGCGAATATTATTACGTTTCCAGTTGTCCCATAGTTCTCTTAAGCTGTCTTCCTGTTTTTTAATAGTTTTTTCCTTTTGTTTTTCTGCTTGGTTGATTTTTTCTACCCTGTCTTCTAATTCACTGATCCGGTCCTCAGCTTCCCCTACTCTGCTTTTTAAACCTTCCAATGTGTTTTTCATTTCGGATATGTCATTTTTTATCTCTTCTTGTTGGTTTTTAATTTCCATTTGGCTTATTTTCAGTGTCTCTATGTCCTTACTCATGCTGTTCAGCTTCCTCAAGATCATGGCTCTGAATTCTAGCTCTGTTAACATGCCTAATTGCTCCACATTGATCTCATCTTCGGTGGAGGTGTCTTGCTCTTTCATTTGGCTTCTGTTTCTGTGTTTCACCATTTTAGCTATCACTGTGGGCTTTGGAGCCTGTCAAGTTCTCCCTGTGGGTGTTGGTGTTCTGCTGTTTGTGGCTCCCTCTCCTGTGTTTAGATGAGCGAGGGAGGACCCGCGTTGAACACCACTGTCAAGTCTTACTTTCCTGGTTAAAGTTGCCAGCCCAGGAAACGTACTGTTATCCTCTAGCTTTTTGCCTGGAGGCTAGCAGTCTAGGTTAATTGATGAGTTTTGGGTTGTCAGTTGATTGAAAAACTCCCTCTGGTGCTCAGCCAAGGGGCTTTCACGAGGGTGGGGCAGATGCTGGTCGTTAGTGAGCCTCAATTAGCACTTCAATGGCCCACAGGGTGGGGTTGGATCTCCGAGGGAGGGGCTGCTGCCTCTCCCCAGAGCCCTGGGAAGGAGCAATGTGGCTACCGTCCTGAGTGGTTGCACTCAGCCAAAGCTCTGAGCGCCCTCCAAACCCCGAGTGTCCCGACACAGTTCCAGTCCAGTCTGCCCTCCCTCCGCCGGAGCCCAAGGTGAGTGGCTGTGGCTGTTTCAGCCTCTGTCCCGGCTGCGCTGTGGGGCCGCCTGGGAGTGTAACCCGCGGGCGCCGCTTACAGCTGAGGCCGCTGCCGAGCTGCCGACCGTGGGCTCCCAGCCCCGTCTCGCGCCTTCGCAAGCCTACCGGGATGGAGTCGGTGTCCCTCGTTGTAAGGTCCTCGCAAGCTGCTTTTCTGTTGGTTTTTCCCGTCGATTTGTCTGTGTTATAGTTGTAATTCCAGTTTGGTTCTGGGAGACGGTCTGTGTAGCTCCGTTCACTCCGCCGCCATTTTTCCTTCCCCTGCTGTATATTCTTTGAGTGGCATTTTGGAATACAAATATGCTTACTCTTTAATCGGGAGTTTATTCCAAGAAATATCTTCTTCCAAGCTACTCAAAAAGTATGTTCCATATTAGATCATTGTTTGTAATTGAGAAAAATTTGAAACCACATCCTTGTCCATCAGTGAGGGGCTGCTGTAGGTAGTGGGGACACGGAGGTCCGTCCTAGTGGACGTCTGACTTACCCTGCAGCAGCAAGGCACACTCTGTGGGTCTGCGTTCCAGAACTGTTTCATTGCTACTCCCGATAGTATCACTGAAAGATTATAAAATTAACTTTAAAACAAAATCTTCACCCAAGGAGAGAGAGAGAGAGAACAAGGAGAGGAGAGAAGAAGGAAAAAGAGAAACCAGTTGGTTGCCTCCCGTACGCACCTCTACCGGGGATTGAACCCTCAAGAGGACCGGCTAAGGTGTGTCAATATTTTTGTTTAAATGTTCCAAGAGTAGCATAAAAATAATCTACCTTAAAATTTTTTTCTACTGTAACTCTTAAAATATGCTTTTCTCTCCCCAAAGTGGCAAAGAATTCACATTCTCTGTTTTCCTTCCAGATTCTCCTGTGGTGAAAGTGGCAGCTGAGTATCCACGTCACACTTTAGAACACCAGGGCCAGCACGGGGGTCCTTCCAGGAATTCCACCCTGTCGGAAATTGTGGAAGCGTGTGGGAAACAGTGACATTTCTTCACACACGTTCTTTCCAAGAAGAGAGGTTCAGGGACGCGGATTACAATGTGTTATACCTGAACATCAAACATTTCAGAACGTGAACAAAACCTTTTGGAAAGGAATAGAGTAACAACTGTTATAAATCTTTAAATGGGAATTATAGCAGTCATGGTGTGTGTTTTCCAGAAATTGTTTCCCCTTGGACACCAATGAAACTACTTAGGGAAAGATGGGGGAAAAAATCGGGTCAAATTTAATGACTAGGCTATACTGTATATTTACTTGAAATAAATGTAATTGTATTACTTTTATATAGTAATATATGTCACTACTGTAAGAATCATGCCAAACTATTTATTTAATTAAAATTTTTTTCTTTATTGATTTGAGAGAGAGAGAGAGAAACATCCATGAGAGAGAACATCAATTGGCTGCCTCCTGCATACCCCTCACTGGGGCTTTGACTCACCACCTGGCATGTGCCCTGACCAGGAATCGAACTGGCAACCCCTTGGTGCATCGGTCGATGCTAAACCCCTAAGCCATATCTGCTGGGCTATTTATTTAATTTTTAATATGTTTTTTATTTTTTATTTGAGAGAGAGAGAGAGAGAGAGAGAGAGAGAGAGAGAAACACTGATTGACATGGGACTGATTGGCAACAAACTGAGCAACATCGGCCAGGTCATGCCAAATTTTTAAACAAAGTATAGAGAGTATCCTTTTCTATATTTAGATATTAATTATATATAATTTGGACTCCCAGGATAATTTGTCTTAAGTAGTGTCTCAAATTTTACACCACGATACCTTTCTATATTAAAGCCATTTTGATAGGGCAAAGGGAAATTCCAGCATTACCAAATTCACTGTGTTATCACAAATTTAGAATTAATGAAAATGTATAATTTTATGGTCAGAAGAGATCTCAAGGTTTATCTGATTGAACTATGCAACATTCTATAATATCCCTACCAGTCATACACATATAAAAGAATGTATTTGTCGAGCATATACTACGTGCCAAGGCCATAGTAGGTGGTTTCTAGCCTATTTTGAATAAAATCTCCACAAAGAGGAAATCCCCATCTTCTGAAACAGTCCAGTCCTCCTTGGGCAGCTCTAACAATTAACCCTGAACTAACAACAATGTGTCCTCTGAAGCTGTTGCTGCTTGCCTCTGATCTCCTTGTTGCAAAAATCAATGTCCTATTTTTAATTTCTTATTGCTTGAACTACCTGGAGCATTTGACAATAATGACAATACCTTTTTTTTAAACTTCTGATCTAATTTTATTTCTTCTCCCTAAATGAGACCAGTTAAAACCTTTTACAATTCTTTCTCGGCCTTTTGGCTCAGATCAAGTGTAGTATGTTTTTATCGGTTTAATATCTGATACATTCTCTACCTGAGGACAATATATTAAATGGATTTGGGGAGCAGGGAGATAGAATAGGAGCTTGCTCTATCCACTCCACACATCAGTCCGGTACTACAGTTCCTCTGGGAGTGGTGCACCAATAAAAAAAAAAAGAAAAGAAAACCTTTTACAGCACCCTATACTTTTCCTAGAGAAAACTTATGAGAACTTGTAAATAAATGCTTAAGAGCATGGACTTTGGTGGCGACTGCCTGGATTCAAATTCTGCTCCAATGCACACTCCCTATGTGACCTTGGGCAAGTTTTCTTTATTCTGTTTCTTCATCTACAAAACAAGAATAATAATAGTACCTATCTCATAGGTGGTTATATGAGTATTAAATAAGTTAATATTTACAAAGTGCTCAGAACAATGTAACTGGCAAAATACTAAGCAATATGTGTTGGTAAGTTAAAGTTCAATAGATGATTTGACTGAAATCAGTGGTCTCTAGTAGACTGTAAATTCCACAAGGACAAGATGAAATAATGTGTGTTCTGCTTACCATTTCATGTCCACTGCCTTATTCTGTGTCTTTCACATCAAAGTGTTTGTTGAATGAGTGAAGAAATAAATGTACAAGTGAAGGAAGAATCAATGTAGTAGGATACATTTATTGTCTCATGTGAAAAGAGTACACCCACCCAAGAATCACCCCACAGCTGGCCCATAAAGGTCATCTATTCTGGGTAATTTTCCTGGAATGTTTTCTCCTTCTTGACTGTACTCATCTACTGGCCTTGGTCTCTTCTCCTGACTTTCACAATAGACAAGCTAAGTTTTGAGAAATACTTCTGGCCTCACAATCTTGGCAACCTGAATAGATACCCCTTTTTTGCACACTGAATGGGCCACCACCATGGCCTTCAGTTTTTCTTACTCCTTTGATGTTTGATGTTTTCTCAAATCCTAAGGTGCACAGCTGGCAAGTGTTTAAGCTAACAGACTAGAACCCAGGTCTTCTGACTCATATGATGTCATTTAAACTCTAGAGCAATGATTCTCAACCTTCCTAATGCTGAGACTGTTTAATACAGTTCCTCATGTTGTGGTGACCCCCAACCATAAGATTATTTTTGTTGCTACTTCATAACTGTAATTTAACTATGTTCTGTCTTAGGTGACCCCTGTGAAAGGGTTGTTCGACCCCCAAAGGGGTCTCAACCCACAGGTTGAGAACCGCTGCTCTAGAGAGTTCAAGTTCTTGAATAGAAGGTTAGGAAATTTGGCAATCTGCCCTGGCTGGTGTGGTTCAGTTGGATCAGCATTGTCCCATGCATCAAAAGGTTGCTGGTTCAATCTCTGGTCAGGGCACATGCCTGGGTTTTGGGCTCCATCCCCGGTAGGGGGCATATGGGAGTCAGCCCATTGATGTTTCTCTCTCTCTTTCCCTCTCCCCTACTTTCTCTCTAAAATCAATAAAAACATATTTTACAAAAAGTAATTTGGCAATCCACTACTCAGAAAACTTTTTGTTCCCCTCTTTATTTCTCTGTGTTAGGATCTTTCCCTTTTGGACAGATCTAAATGTATGGCCCCTATTCAAGTTTTGCCTACTATACACTTGATAAAGTCAGCTTTGCATTTGCAACTTTATTCTGTTTTGTTCTTATTGTTGTTGAGTTCTCTGTCATTTTTAAAGGAAGCATTTTAAAGCATTTAGATCCCACAGAACACTTGAACCATGCTAGAATTTTTTGGCAAAAGAGAGGACAATGGCAGTACAAATTAACATTGCTATAAAATAGTGGCAAAGATCTTTATAGTCTCTAGGTTAAAAGATAATAACAGGATGTGGGAGGAAAGGCATAACAGCAAATAGACTTTGTCTAAAAATCTTAGAGTGATTTACTCATGTAATATTTAGTCATTGGTTTGAATATGTGCCCATTATAAAATACCTAGTCACAGAAACAACCTTTGAAAGCTACTACATGACAGATTCCTGGGTACCAAATGACTTTATCTTTCCATGCTTGTTTCCTTCAGCTAGAACTATTAGTAGAACTTGCGTGAGGAGGTAGACCTCTTGACCCTTAAAAGTCAAGAAAATTAATATAACAAAACCACAGGAAAACTAAGGTCAAAGATCACAAAAAGGACTCTTCAAATTAATTGTTTCTCACCATCTCAACTCCCTCTTTGGATGGTTCTCAAGAAAATAAAATTAGAAGTGTTTATTAGATATATATAGATAGACTCTATTTATCTAGAAACAAGTCCTCTAAGACTAAGACCAGAAAAGTGGTAGTAGAGTCAACTCCAAATTATGTGGATTTAAAAAAAAAAAGATATTAAAATATTCAAACTCTTCCATATTCAAACACGTGAGCATGCACACATCACAAGTCTAAGTTAAGATTTGAGAATCTTTAATAAATGTTAATTTTGTTGTTTTTGTTGAAGATTTATCTGGTGATAACATTTGTTGTTTACCTGATGTTGGGGTAAAAGTTTAAATTTTGTATCAAAGAAACAACACTTCAGTAAACTAAAAATAATGCAATCTATTTTTCTCTCATTTAACAGTCCCACATGGTGGGCTGCTCTGCTCCACATAGTCTTCCAGGGATCCATGTTCTCTCCATCTTTCTAACTTATTTCACTTGCCTTTCAGAACATCACACTTACCTAGTATACTTCCTGTCTTTTTTGCCACTCCTGTTTTGGGAGGGTTAGTTGCCCCTCATCTAGCCTACCTCTAAGTGTTAGGGGACAGGGTTAAATCCTTAGATTGTTTCTTTTCTCTATATCACTCACTCTCTACATGACCTCATCTGGTCTTGTAGTGTTAAACAACATCTACATTGAGGAATTCTACATAAACACTCTTAATCTGGATTCCTTTTCGGACCTTCAGACTCATATTTCCTGGTCACTCAACACCTTAGTTGAAATGTAATGGGCATCACAACCTTGTCCAAAACTGAGTTACAGCTATTTCCCTCCAAATCCTCCTATAGTCTTCCTAATCTAAATGAACAACAACCCCACTTTTCAAGTTCCTCAAGACAAAACTTGGTGTTTTCCTTGACTCTTTTTTAAATCCTTACCTGAGAATATTTTCCATTTGTCTTAAGAAAGAGTGGGAGGGGGAGAGATACAGAAAGAGAGAGAAATATCAATGAGAGAAACACATTGATTGATTGCCTCCCACATGACCCGACCATGTCCCGGGACTGAACTGCAACCCTTGACCGAATCAAACCCGTAACTCTTTGGTCCACAGGCCAAAACTCTTAACTGCTGAGCCAAACCATCCAGGGCCCTTGACTCTTTTTATTCTCTCTCCCCCTCCATATCCAATCTCTTAGCAAATTCTCATGGCTCTCCACTTTCAACATAAACCCAGAATGAACAGCTTCTTCTTCCATCTCTTTGTCTAGCCAGCATTTGGTCTCATTTAATTTCCTGTAATGATTTAAGACCCAATCAACATTTCAAATCTCCCTTCCTGGCCTTATTTTCCTCCTTAGCATTTATTTCTAACAAACTATACATTATACTTATTTACCATTTTTATTGTCCATCTGAGCTCAAGAGGGGCAGGGATTTTGGTCTCTCTATTCACTAATGTACCTCTAGCATTTAGAATGTTGCTTGCATGGAATAGACTCAGAGTAAATATTCATTGCAAGAATGCATGAATCTTGTTTACTCTCTACTTTCTAGGGTGTTTTTCTTACCTGCATGGTTGAGACTTGGTCCCAGGATGGACCATGTTCGGCACCCAGAAGTTGGAAATGGCATGGAGGAGTGTACATGAAGTGTTTCAGGGTCTGAACCTGGAAATGGCACACATCACTTCCATTTATATTCTGTAAAGGAGAATTTAGAAATCTGGCCATATCTACCTGTAATGGATTTGGAAATAGCACTACCAGTTTGTAAGCCATGGGCCCACCACATACAATATTATAATATAGAAGAAGGATGGAACAGAATTTGGTAAACAGCTAGCAGTCTCCACCTTACCTATTATTTACACAGCTTATTTTATCCAGAATGACCACTCAACCCACTTTGGAGTCCCAGAAGTAAATTACAGGCTGAAGTTAGACCTGTTTAATAGTGTGAAAACCCAAGAGTATTATATAAATCACTGATACCAGTTTGCTCATTTAAGTATGGCTGAAGCTAATCCCATTTGAAGACTGACAAGTCCCAGATATTCTTACTAATTGCTTTAGGAACACATGGACCTTATCTTTACATTTTTATTATTTTATTGCTTAGTGCAAACTGAAAAACTTGTGCAGCGATAAGACTGAGAATGAAGGAAAAATGAAGTGTGGGTGTAAACTCCTGAGATAGAGAAACAAAAGAAACTTATTTCTCAGTTTTCTATTATTATCTCCTCAATTACCAGAACTCCTGAAATAAAACAATGAATTAACTTTCCTCCTCTAATAGAGTCTAGCAATCTATGAAATGACTTCCAGAGAACTGGATGATATAGAAGTACGGGGTGTGGAAAATCAATAATCCAAAGTCCAAGCATAGAGCTTTGCAGGAAACATAATCTGGGGTATTGAAATTAATCAGTAGACTAGAAATCACATTATTGTGCTTTATCTAAAGTTCAAAAAAAAAATCTTAAATCCTTTTAAGCCTTGTAAAATTAATGAATTTAAGTTAATTCTCACAGTTAGCAGATAGAGTTTATGTTCTTATGCTTCAGGATATAAACTTAACACACACAAAAAAACATTTGTTAACAAGTCCTACTCTTTCAGCAAGTAAAATGTAGTAAGTGCCTGAAAATAACCATGGTTTATATAAAAAAATGTTTATTATTACTGCACTGAAAAAATTTATGACATTTTAGGCAGTGAGTTTGTTTCTCTGCCAAAGAATCCAAAGAAACAATTGCAAGTCAACATCCTTTCCTCCCATTTTCATTGTGTCCCATTAAGGGTGTTTAAATAAAGGCAGATGGTGGGAGAATGCCATTTTTATACCTGCGAAGTGCTCATTTATCTTGTCCTCCAAGATGGAATCATCTGGATTTTTAAAATGGGATCCTAGCCCCAGCTGGGTAGCTCAGTTGGTTAGAGCACCATCCCCAAATGCCAAAGTTTGATTCCCGGTTATGGTACATA